CCAGTTGCTCCTCTGCAGATCTACCTTGCCAGTATTCACCGTGATCAAGACCTCAAGAGATGTAGCACCATCAAGGGGTCCGTGCCCATCCTGGTCCTATTTGGCTGGGTTCTTTGATGCTGAGGGGCACATAAAAGTTCAATACCCTGCCACCATGACTTTACAAATTGGTCAGAAGGTTCCTCACATCTTGTACTCGATCCGTGATTTTCTCAAGGACTTTGAAGCCACGTGCTCCATCTACAGCTGCGGTCAAGGTCACCACAAGCTAACGGTTCTTGGAACAGCAGCGTGTAAGAGCATCTTGAGAAGACTGCTGATCGGAGGTCTCCGCGTCAAACGTGAGACAGCAAGCATCTCTATAGCATTGACCCAGGGAAGATTTCATGATATTCGATACGAGCTAGCCAAGAGGGTGGGATATCAGGCTCGCTACGTGAGACTGAGTGCCGCAGGAGCAGAGCGCGCGTACGAAATTAGGAAGCTGCGCGCACGGTTGCGGCGACTTGGTGGGCCAAACACGTCAGAGGGAACCTTGCGAAACCAGCTCTTGCTGCAGCTGGAGCAACTGCAGGAAACTCACCGAGTCGAGTGCGCAGCGGAAAGGTACCAGCTGCTCCGTGCAGACATACGGTCACAACTGCAACAAGAAAAGACAAGATCCAGTCATCGGCATCCCTTTAATTAGGGGACGCCGTTATAGGGTTCCTTAGTTCCTGACTAAGAACCAGAGAGTCAGCAGGCCAGTTCACTGCAACGCTCAATGTGTCGAGAAGTGGCAACTTAAGTTTAGAGTTTAGGTGAGAGTTCTTATCATACCCTTTTTCTCTCCCTCTGGCAGCGACATGGAGGATCGGCTTCCTGATCCTGTTTCGCCCGGTCGAACTCAGGACGTCAGGGGGGTCAGCATAGGGTTTATAGGGTTTAGGGTTGAGGGTTTGGATATAGGGCTTAGGGTTTAGGAGTTACGGTTTAGGATTTAGGATTTAGGGTTTCGGGTTTCGGGTTCGCAGGGTTTAAGCTCCTGGCCCTTGTTTCCTGCATTCGGGCTGGACTGAGTATTTCTCTCTTTTGTTTGTGTTTCGATGAGGCCGGGGTCTCTTGTACAAGCGGATATTTGGTCACAACAAGAGCCCATACACCATACATTTATACATATGAATATATGTATACATATGTATATATATATATTTATTTATTTATTGATTTATTTGTTTATTTATGGAGAGCATAATGTGTATACATGCAACCAAAACTCCGAAAGCCCTAAAACCCAAAACGCTTCACAAGGACTTCCTGATCTCGGCATTGCTGGCCGAGGAAGGAGGAGGTGGTGGGTTCACTGTACACTGGGGGGTCAGGGGTTAGGGTTCCTGGGGCTTGGCAAAGTTAAGGAATTTCACTAAACCCCCTAAACCCTAAAGCCCTAAACCCGAAAGCCCCAAACCCTAGCCCTAAACCCTAAACCCTAAACACTTATATAGGGTTCCAGGGTCTCGTTGTGGTCTTAGGGTGCGACATTGTGAAAGATTGGGGTGAGGGGGCTCATGGACATGAGGGGTTACTGGTTTCGTGAAAAAAGGTTCGCGGCTTAGTGTGTTGCAACCCGTATACCCTTTAAATGGCACCAAGAATTTAGGTGCATATGCCTTTAATCACAGGGTATATACAGGTCACCCTAGGTCCCTAGGTGGGGCTTTGCCACCTATCCCTTTAGAAGGTACCCCGCGATTTTAGGTGCATATGCCTTTTTTCACGGGTATATGCAGGCTACCCTAGATGGGGCTTCAGGTAGGTTAGGTTAAGTTAGGTTTTCTTGAGCGGCTTAATTCCTAAGCATAGCCAGATATTCTTATGTCTTGGCGCCTCAACACACCCTAGGCGCACGATGATTAACCCATTAGCTCGTGGGCTACATTCAGACGGCAGCTTCTTTAGGCGCAGCATATCTTGCACCAGTCGTACCTCAACCCTCAAAGAGCTTGAAGGCCTAAACCCTGCAAAACTGAGAAACCCAGATTCCATCCTGAATGGCTGCAGCCGATGCGGCTGACACGCAAGTATCCTCGTCCTGGTGGAAATTAAGTGCTTGGTGCATGCTGCGGAGCTGCATGGCGTTCTGGCGTCATTCCTAGAGCTTGACATCTGGGTCTCCTTGCGCATGAAGGGCCTCCCCTCCGCAGACCCACACACGGTGGGGGTTGCCATCGTTGTCTACAAGAAGGTGGTCAAAGTGGGCTTGGTGGAGCGGCATAATTCTGTATCCCCCTTTGGGAAGTGTTGTGTATTTATGTTCATATAAAACCCAAGAGGATATTAAGAAACATCATTTGTTATTAAGGTTGTAAGGGGGAGTGTAGAATTCCCAAGTATGAATGTCTTGGAGAGGAGCTCGACCGCAATGACCTTGTACCTCAACACACTCTAGTCAGGCTGAAAAGAGCTGAAAAAAGCTTACCACGTAGACCCTTAGAGTCCGTGCTTGTCTGAGTCCAACAAAGAAGAGTCTCCGAACTCCGGGCATACCCCCACACCCTAATCCCGAAACCCTATAATCGTAACCCCGAAACCCTAAACCCTGAACCCCGAAACCCGAAACCCCACACCCCTAACCCCTAACCCCCAAACCCCAAACCCTAAACCCTAAACCCTAAACCCTAAACCCTAAACCCTAAACCCTAAACCCTAAACCCTAAACCCTAAACCCTGAACCCTGAACCCTAAACCCTGAATCCTAAACCCTGAACCCCAAACCCTGAACCCCAACTCAAACTCAATCGCAAAAGTCTTCCAGGCTCCGTGGCAGCAGCTGTGCCGGGAAAGCCACCGCTGGCCCCAGGCCTCCCAACGAAGGGTTGAAAGGGTTTTGGGTCATTTTGGCTTAGGGTTTAGGGCTTAGGCTTTTTTGGATTCAGGTTTAGGGTTTAGGGCTTTGGGTTTAGGGTTTAGGCTTTTTTGGATTCAGGTTTAGGGTTTAGGGTTTTGGGTTTAGGGTCCGTTCAGGGTCCTACTAGTAGGGTTTCGGGTCCCAGGGCTTAGGGTCCTAGGGCTTAGGGCCGCTTGGGGTCTTAGGGTTTGGGGTTCAAGACTGTGATGAATTAGGCTCGTTAAAAAAATGTATAGATATGAATAACATATATATATATACATATATATAGTTAGCCAACCCCAGCGTTTTGCGCCTCGTTTTGAGGCCACCTGAACCCCTAACCCTCAAACCTCGTGCTCCCAAGCGCCGTTGATCGGGGGAGGGGAGGGGGGAGGGGGGGGGGGGGGGGGGGGGGGGGGGGGGGGAGGGTTTGGGGTTTAAGGTTTATAGGCCCTGGGGTTTAGGGTTAGGGTGTTGGGTTTGGGTTTTGGGTTTTGGGTTTAGGGTTGGGGGCCGTCGTGGGGCGGAGATTTTTTGCAACAGGCCAAGGTCCGAGGGTGACGGTTGAGGGTTTATCGAGTTTACAGGGTTGAGTGGTACCTCCATCATCCCTCAAAAAGGGATATATTGAGGGATTCCCTGATTCCCTACTAGCAAGTAGTAAGAGATTGGGATAGAGAGATAGAGCGCTAACAACAAAACCCCAGCAGGGACTTGTGCCAGTCCCGAACCCTCCGCAAGAAAGAAAACAAAAACTCAACCCAAACTCTTCCTAGTGGGGCTACTGAGAGCCCTAAACCCTAAACCCTAAACCCTAAACCCTAAACCCTAAACCCCTTCTAAGGACAGCTAAGCTCGACCCCGACCAGGTACAGCGAAGCCGAAAGCAGCAGTTGCAAGTGCGGCTTGAAAGCATTCTGCTAAACCCTGAGCCCTAAACCCTGAACCCTGACCCCTAAACCCTAAACCCTAAACCCTAAACCCTAAACCCTAAACCCTAAACCCTAAACCCTAAACCCTAAACCCTAAACCCAAGAAGGCCTCTGTCAAGGCCCACACCCTAAACCCCAAGCAACCCCAAACTTCCTAAACTTCCTAAACCCTTCCATCGTATAGCTATTCAGTGTCAGGGTTAAGGGTTTCGATTTCGAGATTTCGGACTCTTATGTTCAGTTCCCTCAACCCCTGAACCTTGTGGACTACCTACCCCCCCCTCCCCCCCCCCGAAGCTTGGCCTATACTAGCAGTCCTTAATTGGATTGGTGTACCCTTCATTGTAATCCTATGAAGGACTGTTAGTATAAGGGGGAACATCCCAAACTGAAGCTTGTAAACTGAACCCTAAAGCCTGGACCATACAGCTGTTCCAATGACCCAATGACCCCCTCGTGACTCCCTAGCATGTCAGATCCCCAAACCCAAACCCGAAACCCCAAACGAGGCGTAGATCATTTGTGTCACCCCCGGTAGGCAATGCCCTGCTTCATTGATCGAACGACGCAAGTCCGATCGAACCCCAAACCCCAAACCCCAAACCCCAAACCCCAAACCCCAAACCCCAAACCCCAAACCCCAAACCCCAGCGCTTTTGGCAAGGCTCCAGCAGGTACAGACATGCCCGCCGTACCGGAAGGGACTGCCCTGAAGGCGCAGCAGGTTTGGGGTTTAGGGTTTGGGGTTTAGGGATGGTTGAGGCGCACATGACATGGGGGTTTACTAGAATAAGGGGACCCCGAATACTAGGACTCGGAGTAGGCCCTTATTTCCGTTTTTCAAGGTTGGGGTTCCCTTATAATCCCCTTAAAACCAAAAAGGCACCCTTTTTATTCCTAGGTTACTCCTGGCACCCCGAATATAGACCCCCCCCAAACAGTGTAGTGTAGAAAAGAATCATGGTATATCTTCATATGGTAGTGGGATGACTTGATATCGCATGCTCCAAGCTTGGACTGCTGCCGTCCCTCGCCTTCTATGGCTCGGACCTCTCAGAGGTGGACTCACGAAAATCATGTTCCCACATTGTCACGGCACAGCTAACTGTAGCTCAATGTTATTGAGGAGCATCTAACTCTGAAAACTGAATCCTCTAAACCCAGCAAAAAGCCTGCACTTGCCGGCCACATCCGGCGCAATGGCAAAGAGGCCCTTTCGCTTGAGCTTCCTTAGGTCTAGGGTCTAGGGTCTAGGGTCTAGGGTCTAGGGTCTAGGTTTAGGGTTTAGGGTTTAGGGTTTAGGGTTTAGGGTTTAGGGTATCTTGAAGGTTCGGGGCCGCCATGGCTGGTTGTAAGGAGGGCTACCTTACCTGTAAAGGCCCAGATAGCTACAAGTAATTACCCACGAAGCTTCAAGTAAGCCGTAAACCTATAATAATCTTTGTGGTACTTTACTGTAACTTTAGATCCTTACCTTTTTTGGGTTTATTGGGTTTCTTATTAAGGCAGCCAAAAGTTTAAATTATAGCTACCTTCCTGAGTGCAGCCAAGTAATCCCTAGCTTTATGGTAGTCTACTTGACGCTTGGCGCTATACCGAGACAAGATCGATGCCTTGATGTCAGCAGCGCCAAACCAATAAGGAGACGACGCAGTCAGCTCGTGACCCTGCACCTTTGTTTGGTTCCAAGCCCCCTTATACAGTAGCCAACCCCCAAAAAAAGGGTGCTGGGTATTGTAATATGGTTCTTGGGCTACCCCTAAACCCTAAACCCTAAACCCTAAACCCTAAACCCTAAACCCTAAACCCTAAACCCTAAACCCTAAACCCTTCTTCTGATATGGCTACTGGGCTACCAAGCCCTTAAGCCCTTCATGGCCTAAGGGAGTAGAGGCTATTGGGATGTTTGTTTGGAGCAGCCGGGCGCAAAAGGTGATTTGGAGTCATTACGCCTTGCTGCGAAGGGTACGGGGTTTGTCGGCTTCAGGGTTTAGGGTTTAGGGTTTAGGGTTTAGGGCTTCTTGTGAAAGCCTCGTCTGGCCAGGGTCACTGGCATCGTCGCGAGCTGGACCCTTCCACCCCGGGGTAAGAGGTGCGCCGGAGGGCCACCTCCCTAAACCCTAAACCCTAAACTCTAAACCCTAAACCCTAAAAGTACCCAGGGCTTCTGTAGGTTTGAAGCTTGGGCAGAGTTCATAGAGGGCTTTCTGGGGCTTATAGGGCCTCCTGGGAGTTTTTTTACGGTTTACAAGGCTTATAGTCATTGGATATATGCGTCCCCCCCCCCCCCCCCCTTGCACCCGCCTCCGGGGAGGGGGCAAGATCAGGCCGCGCCACCCCCTATGGAAGGGAATGTTAAGTTCTGGACCAAAAGGGGTTTAGGATTCAGGGTTTAGTTCTGGACCAAAAGGGGTTTAGAGTTTAGGGTTTAGGGTTTAGGGTTTAGGGCACACCAGAGTTGACACATTTAGGTCCAGGATTCATTGTTCAGCGGAAACACGCTTGAGTTTTTATGGCTCCTGATGACCGCATTTCGCGAAGAAGTCCATTTGCACACGGCGCCCAGCTTGTCAAATCCCCACCAGTAAACCTTATCGGACACTGACCCTCAACCCTAAACCCGAAACCCGGCTCTAAGCCCAATTATGACCCTGAGGTAGGCCTTTTACTTCTCGGCAGCTAGGACCCATAGTGCCTCTAGAAAAACAACATCCAAGTACCTGAGTTGGAGCTTGCTGGCAGTTTTAGGTTTGGGTTTATGGCCGGGGGTTTAAGTTTAGGATTTGCACGTAGCAATTGAAAAAGGCAGAGGCCTCAGGTCACCCTTTCCGAAGGGACCTTTTGATAGGAAGTGTCTTGTCAGACCCTAAACCCTAAACCCTAAACCCTAAACCCCAAACCCTAAACCCTAAACCTGCCCATTAGGAATGGTTTGGAGTCTTTGCAGGGTCTAAAGTTTAGAGCACCTAAACCCCATATCAGAGCTAGGGCTCCTCCCGCAAGTTCGCTAAGGTTCTATGTACCTATACAGTATATACTTGCCCTAAGCCCTAAACCCTAAACCCTAAACCCTAAACCCTAAACCCTTGGGCCCTAAAGCTCCTCTACATACTCTACAGGAACCAGTTCCAGGCCCAAGTCTCAGCTGCTCTCTGTCGACGCCAGGAATGCGGAAGGATACGGCTTTGTCACGGAAGATGGAAAGGAGTCCGGAAAAGGCGAGTCGCTGGGGGCGGGCGGGGGGCCCTAAACCCTAAACCCTAAACCCTAAACCCTAAACCCTAAACCCTAAACCCTAAACCCTAAACCCTAAACCCTAAACCCTAAGTGGTGGGGGGGGGGGGGCTCGGGGGGGGGGGAGGTCCTGGGCTTTAAGTCTGAACATCAACTCCTGAAAGGTTGCTGTTCTTAAGCCCTAAGCCCTCAACAGTTGGGGCTCTGAAGCAGAAAGGGGCCGGCATTCAGGGCACAGGTTTCAAAGTCACGGTTCAAGTGCGTACAGGTAGACTTAAGTGTGGAATGAACATTCAGGGTTGAACTTTGCTTTTGCATCTCGGGCTTAAGGGTTTGAAGGCTAGAGGGCTTAAGTTTGGATATGTTTGGATAAGGGTTCTCGCCCCTCCCGGAACCCTGAAGGGCTAACAAACAATATGGTTCAGGGTTTAGGGTTTAGGGTTTAGGGACAAGGGTTTAGGGTATAGGGTTTAGGTTTTAGGGTTTAGGGTGGGGACCTACAAAACCACGCCAGGGGAGCATCACACACTTTTGCACAATCAGGAAGCGACTTGTTTCTCTATGCCGACAGCATCAAGGACTTGATGTTGAGAGAGGGCTAGTGAGTTTTTCACCTAATAAAGGGGTCGGAAGGATTACAAATGCTTTCCCCTTTTGGCCCCTTTATCATGAACTACAATATCTAATTATGAAGGTCCTTGTGTTATGGCTTTAAGGGCTTGTTTAGGGTGATAGGTCCTAAGTTTTGGGGCTGTGCTTTTCGGTTCGGGGTTTAAGCGCGAGGGAGTTGGGAAAGATGCAACCCAATAACCTATGGTTCAGGACTTAGGGCTACTTCGTGGTTTTCCTGTGGAAACGCATAGGGGGGTTTACGAAAATAAGGGACCCCTAATTTAGACCCCTAGACCCTAAACCCTCAGAAAAGCCCAATCTCTGAACCCGTTTACTTACTAGTTCTTAGTAAACTCAGCCTTCACCCAGCCTTACAGGACGGTGCCCCCTAGCTTTAAGTAGGCTTTTAGGGGCCCTGTGTTGGGTCCTCTGTATGACAACTTAAGAAAAAGTCTCGTATCTATACAAAGTAAAGTGAAAGGGCGGTATAGACTCAGACCCTCAACCCTCAACCCTAAATTCGGCCAGTGCCTTTCAGGGCTCAACCATGGGACCCGAAAGCATGACTGTTCTAAGCGAGTTAGGGTTTAGAGTTTGGGGCTTATCGGTCTACGTGTTCTTCTGAAGGAGTTAGGGTTTAGGGGTTTAGGGTTTAGGGTTTAGGGTTTAGGGTTTAGGGTTTAGGGTTTGGGGGTCTACTGTCCTAAAGGAGTTAGGGTTTAGGGCTGAGGGGTCCAGGTGTTTTGGGGTTAAGGAGCGCCGACTTCAGTATAAGCTACCCAAAATACCCAACAAGCCACCCCCCTGTGTTCACCCCAAACTCCCAGGACCCTCAAGCCCTCGACCCCAACCCAGAACCTAAACCCCCCTCCTTTGAACCCGAACCCCTAAGCCCTAAGCCCCAAGCCCCATGCCCCAAGCCCTAAGCCCTAAGCCCTAAGCCCTAAACCCTAAACCGTAAACCCTTAACCCTAAACCCTAAACCCTAAACCCTTAACCCTTAACCCTAAACCCTAAACCCTAAACCCTAAACCCCCTTCAACCCTAAACCCCGCAAGGACTCGAAGCTCCGGAGCCAGGCGAAGCTCTTCGGCTTGAAAAATGGCACGCGCGTGGGCGCCTCAGACTCTTCTGGCTGGTTCTTAGTGGGGAATGAGTGGGTTTAGGGTTTCGGGTTTAGGGTTTAGGGTTTAGGGTTTAGGGTTTAGGGTTTAGGGTTTAGGGTTTAGGGTTTAGGGCTCAGAGTTGAGGGTTTAGGGTTTAGGGTTGAGGCTTTAGGGGGTGAATGGGTGGGGTTGGCGGGGGGGGGGTTGAGGGGGGTACGGAGGCGGGGTAGGGGAGGGAGGGCTTTACGGGGTTTCAGGGCTTCAAGGGCTTTTAAGTGTTCACGGTTTAGGGTATGGCTAGTTTATAAAGGTTGAGGGTTTAGGGTTTAGGGTGTGGTATGGGGCGAGCCCTCAAGAGAAACGGGTTTTGGAGTACTAAGCCTATACTTTGACATGTTTTGTTGGTTCTGGCTTCCGATTCTCGCTACTTATACCCAAAAAGTAAATACCTTTTTTCCAGGGTCTACTAGTAGGAGACAACCCCCAAGTAGGAGAAAACCCACAACTGGCAGATCATCTTCGACGTGGAGGAGCCCAAGAGCGGACGCCACAGCCGTCTTGCGGCTGCGGCCTCGGTTTAGGGTTTAGGGTTTCGGGTTTAGGGTTTAGGGTTTCGGGTTTCGGGTTTAGGGTTTTGGGTTTAAGGTTTAGGGCGTAGGTTAGCTAGATTGGGCCCTTCATTGGGGAGCACTTATATGCGCCCGCGTTCCGCGTAATCGACCTCCCCCCCCCCCCCAATGGTATCCCCCCCCCTCCCCAATGGTATCCCCCCCCCCCATGGCAACCCCCCCAAACCCTGCCTGTTAACCCTAAAAACACCACGGACCACGCGGGGGACAGAAAAGCCTCAGCCTAAACCCCAAACCATGAACCCTACGCCCGAAAACTTAAACTCACCAATGAACGACGGGAGGGAGAAGGGTAAACCCGAAACCTTAGCCGCTTTATCCCTGCCACCCTTAAACCCTAAACCCATGAACCACAGATCATGAACCACAGGGGGGGGGGGGGGGGGGGGGGGGGAACCCAAAACCCACCAAACCACAGAGAGGGTGGGGTGGGGGGGGGGGGAAATACCATGGGGGGGGAGGGGGGGGGTGCGCCTATGCTGGCCCATATATACCCCTTACCCTGTCAACCCCAAGGGCGCCCTCAGAATCCTGAAAAAATCTGGGGCGATATTAAGGAAACAGTTGCAGAATCAAGTCTACCGAAGTTGTTGGGGCAGAGTGGAGGGCTTGGGGGTTTGTGAGGTGTTGGAGTTTATGGTTTAGGGGTTAAGGTTTAGGGGTTTAGGGGTTTAGGGTTTCGGGTGTAGGGTTTAAGGGTTTAAGGTTTAGGGTTTAGGGGTTGCATTTGGGTTAAGCTTTTGGGCTTGGATTCTACAACCATCACGGCTCCAGCCTGCACCAAGCCCACGCTTCAACACTCCAAGCCCGAACACTCAAGACTCTTATGAAGGACCCCTACAAGGAGGGGCCCCCTTGCTATACTAACTGTAGTTGAGGGACATATAACCTAATTTAGGATCCTTATAGCCCAATGTATAAGGGCTCTTATAACTCTACTTATAACTGGGGGGGGGGGGGGGCCCTCCTTGTACACCCAAAAGGCCTACCAATACAACAGCCCCAGCCTCCGACTTCAAAGCTTAGGACAGAGCACCCTTGTTCCTATTCCCTAAACCCTAAACCCTAAACCCTAAACCCTAAACCCTAAACCCTAAACCCTAAACCCTAAACCCTAAACCCTTGCGAAGATCAGGTTTGTGGTTCCCTTCAAGACCTTCCCTAGCTTTGGGGCAGGCACCCTGTTGATTCCTAGGTTTCCCCCCAATTCCCTTAAACCACCCTGAACTCCTAAAGCCCAAACCCCTCAACCCTAAACCCTAAACCCTGAACCCCAAACCCTAAACCCTAGACCCTAAACCCTCAACCCTAAACCCTAAACCCTAAACCCAACGCCCCTGAGATCAACGTGCTCCCTGATGGATCTGGGGGCGGCGGAAGTGGGTCAGGCGGAGGGGGAGGCAGGGCAGCGACAAGGGATGAGACCTGCGAGCGTAACATTAGGGTTTAGGGTTTAGGGTTTAGGGTTTTGGGTTTTGGGTTTTGGGTTTAGGTCCCTTTATAGCTATACTCTTATATCCCCCCCAAAACCCTCTTCTAATTATTCAGGCCCCCGCAGAAACTCCCACAAACCTAAACATGGAGGGCTTCCGGCGTTTTGGGGCGGTTTGAGGGCGCGAGGGCTGTAAAGTTTTGGGGGTTTGAAAGGGCTTAGGGTTTAGGGTTTAGGGTTTAGGGTTTAGGGTTTAGGGCTTTTTGGGGGTGTTTTCTCTCTGAAATCAGAGCCGAAGCTTCCGCACTTGGCAGGGGTTCAGGCTGACCCATAGAAGCCCAAACCCTCAAGCCTCAATGTGGCCAGGCATTAGCAGACCCAAAAAACCTATATTTGGGATATTCCCCTATCCCACCCAAGCGCTTCCCCCTTGTAATAAACGGCCCCCCTGATTACGAAAACACTTTCGGGAAAATCCTGCCGAATCCGACCCCGCCTTTTAGACCCTATTCCGAATTTGGGGGGGGGTTCAGAGCTTCAAAACTCAAAAACCTTCAAGCCAATCTACACCCTATCCCAACAGATGGCATATGGATAAAAACATCCCCCTAATACTAAAAAACCATTTCGAGTTTCTATTGGGGGAGGGGGGCTGGGGGGGGCCCGCGTTTAATACTAGGAAGGGATGATCCCCCCCAAGGAGGGAAAAAAGGTAGATTTTCACCCAAGGTTGGAGGATCTATTCTGGTGCTCAATGCCCTAAGCCCGAAACCCAAGACAAGACCTACAAATCCCGAAGACCCCCTCCAAGCCACAATGAAGCCCTGCAAGGCTAAACCCTAAACCCCAAACCCCAAACCCCAAACCCTGAACCCTAAACCCTAAACCCTAAACCCTAAACCCTAAACCCTAAACCCATGAGTTCCACAAGCCCTGAGTTGCGTCTACTTCTTCCCAACCTCCAGCCAGGCCGCCGAGGCCGCAGCCGCAGCCCCAGCCGGAGGCCATTTTGTCCAAGAGGGAAGAGGGGGGCGTGAGGAGGAGGAGGGAGTGTTTAGGGTTTAGGGTTTAGGGTTTGGGGTTTAGGGTTTAGTGCTTAGGGTTAGGAGGAGGAGGGGGAGGAGGAGGAGGAGGGAGTGTTTAGGGTTTTTTGGGTTTTTGGGTTTTTTGGGTTTTTTGGTTTTTGGGTTTTGGGTTTAGTGTTCTGAAAGAAGGTTTGGTAGCCCAGTGGTACCCTTTGCCCTTTATTTTGGTCCTGGGCTCCCTTTTAGACTAACCAACCCAAAAAAAGGGTGCCCTTATGATGATATGGTTACTGGGCTACTAAGAACTGTACTTCTTAACGCAATTATAACTTGTAACCATACTGGGGGAACTTGAGGGGCTTCTCCGTGGGTTATAGGTACAGTTGGGTTGTAAGTACCATGAACCGCCAAGTAGGGCGCTCAGAATGCAAAGACAGGAGCTGAACCAAAAAGGAAATCTAAAGTGGTCCCACATACGTCCCCAACCCTGAAGCCCTAAACCCTAAACCCTGAAGCACATGGCTGCTCACTCCTGAACCCTTTCAACCCTACACTGACCGTTTTCTCCCCTGTTTAAGCCCTACATGGTGACACTATACGCCCTATAGAAGCCCTGCAACTGTAAACCCTTGAAGAGGGGCGCCCTAAACCCTGAAGCCTAAACCTTAAGCCCTAATCCCAACTCGCAACTCTTTAACCTAGGGAACCCCGAAACCCCAAGCCCGAATCCCTTTTGTAAGCCCCAGTAGACCCAGTAAACCTCTACCACTGGGAGGATCCAAAAATGCCAAAAAATGA